GGTCTGGGGGTCCTCCTCCAGAAATTTTTGAATTTAGTAGATGCAGTTTCCTTCATTCTGGTGTATTTTACAGGTTCCTATACAGACTTTTACCTACATAAAAAACACTTGATTAAATTAACTAAATTAGAGACAGATTMTTCATTTAATTAGTTTCATCATCTTGTTTTTAAACTCATTGCTATGGCCATGTTAATGAAATTAATATGACACAATTTATCACAAACAACGATTTTTGAGAATCATTTTATGTTTATATTGTTTATTCTTGATTTTATTTGTAACAGAACATGTCAATGTGCCAAGCGATAATGAACCTCAGCTGCATGTTTAAAACTAAGAACGTTAAAAACTTTACCCAGTGAACAGGTAAAATATTGATAACCACCAGCAGTGAATTTAGGAGGCATTTCTTTGCCTGATTTAACGACAGGTCCACTCATAACAAACTGACATGACATCACGCAGCTTTCAGAACATAAACTAACTCTGTGCCAAACAATGGTGACATAAAGAAAATAACTTTAGTCAGTTTTTCAGCTTGTATCATGAAAAACTGATACATGGTTTGGAACTGGTTAGAACACTAATGATGGATGGACAGACTCACAGCATGCATGTGCTGCAGCACACTAGGCAGTTCGGCTTGGTACGTGCGCATCCTCGCCAGTGATAGAGGGGTTTATATTTGGCGCTTACATTATTGTAGTAAAACAGGACATGTGGCAGAACACTATAACTTGTACAATGTTGTAAAATAGGAGAGCAAAAGCATGATGGACGAACAAACTGAATGTTGCGYGCAGCCTTTGCAGGAGCAGCTTGGTCACGCACRYRAAGTTGGAYATATCTGTTGGATAACGGCACTCTGAGCACAAATATTTAATGTAAAGTTAAGTTTTATAGATAAAASTCCAAGGAGCGAAATGAGGGAGGAGAGGTTTCACTCAGGACTGACTGCTRCTCTGCTCCTGCAGACTGCTCACCTGCTGCTTTWCTGGCCTGCCCTGCTCCGCTCTGATGTGATTGGATAAAAGYGCAATGGAATTTGTTTCATTTGTTGAAAGTAATGGTGCGTTTAAGGATAGACAGGGCGGCTTTAACCAGTTCTTCTCATGATAAAAAAAAAACATCTGTTTAAAAAGTAATAACAAATATATATTTCACTAATTTAAACCTTGCCTGAGCTTCCTCCACCTTTCATTGCTTCAAATGTCTCACTACTCCATATACTACATGATTCTCCTGATAAAATATCATTGCACATGATATATAATATGATTTCATACATGTATGATTTATAAAGGCCTTTATTTCTATGTCCGGTAGTAGTAGGCGGAACTTTCGCGCGTGTTGTTGTTGTTCAGGGGACGGATAATCAGACGGAACGGTTGATGCACCGTTTTTCCCCCCTTGAAGCTGTATGGAGAATACCGTCCTCATTACTCCTCTTTATCTGCTTCATTCAGGTCAGAAATCTGTAAATATACCTCARATCTTCTGATATTTAAACTAATTTTAAGGTAGYTTTTACTACGTTTTAATCTGAGGAAAACTGCTGCGGACATTTCTTTGTGAAATTATGAATAATTATTCGGACTAATAAACTTAGATTTTAGTTCATGGTTTTCAGATGGTGCTCTGTAGTTAAGAAGTTTCTTTAATACCTTTATAAAAATGAAAAATTGTCATTTGATAATGATCTATAGCTAAGCTAACTCCTACATC